CTTATAACAAGAAGTTACAAGATTCCATAAGATCTTATATTATCTTATAATAAGGTCTTGTAAGATCATATCGTAAGACCTTATTACAAGATTTCACAAGAAAACATCAGATCTTGCAAGGTCTTACTATATGTGTTTCACCTGGGTCAAATCAAACAGTGCTAATAGAGCAAATATTTTACATTTAATAAATCGTTTTAATTTCCAAAGAAATAACAAAAGCCTTTGGTATCACAGTGATGATCAAAATTTCGTTTTATTTTTTTAAAACTCCTTTTGGGATTGTACGAGACTTTTCCTCATAAATCTAAGGGTTTAGTATCAATCATAAAAGTTTTCTAAAATCACTACTAAGTTACTGGTTTAGCAGTAACTGGACAGAATCATTTCAGCTTTTTAAGATAGGCTAGTTTTTTTAGAGAGTAGGCCTTGGTTGCCTTTTATTTTAGGCGCTTGATCTTATGATACGCAATGTTGAATGATCTGCGCAAAGAAGTAGACTACACTTTAAAAATAATGTCAAAGAACAACAAAATGTTAAAAATTAGGTCAAGTCTCAGTCTGTCAACGTCACTCGTCTATCTATATTTGCTTTTTCTGTTGTGGTTTGGCTCTCATCAAATATAGACATTTTTGTTAGTTTTTGTTTCGATGTGTTCAAGTAGAGTTCCGATGGTCTATCTGTTTGTTCTAATTGTTTATTAACATCACTTACGTTGAACTGAAGACTATTTCTAAAATCAATATCTGTATAGACATCATCTACGTTTTTATATCCATTGGAATCTTTCTGTTTTTGTTCATAATATTTTACTATGACTTCATCTAGATCGCGTATTGTTCCCCGTTCGATTAAATCATCTTGTAACAATTTTTGCTTAATCTCATTTTCATCCCGATGACTTGTTGAACCAATTAATGTTTGATCTATCACTAATAAACGTTCACGTATAAGAGACAATAGTGCTGATTCATCATGCCTCGAAATAACTCTCGATAATAATTGTAAATGTTCTTTATTATTAAGTTTTAGTAATTGTCGACGTGTTTCTAAAGCTGTTTGACGATCTAAATAATTTTTTGGTAAATCAAATATAACAGGTGAATATTCTTGACGATTAACACCGTTCATTATTTCGTGCGGTTGTTCACGTCCCGGACGAATCAAACGTTTTTGTAAATTAGAAGCTAGTTTATGATATTGTACATGTTTTTTCTGATATTCAGGTTGTAAATCAAAATAAGAATAAAATGATCCACTGAGTGCATCTTGAAACCATAATTCACGAAAATCAATGTTAACACGTTTACGACGTAATTCAGCCTAAATATAATCAAAAGAAAATTGATCCAGAGTATCATACTCTGAATACATACAATTCTTGCTTTTCGATTAGCATAGTCTCTCCAACAATTGAAAAATTGTTTCATAATATATTCATTTCTAAATCGTCTAGTTGGCTTTTTTACCGTCGGTTGCGCTCGATCAATTTGTTTGGGATTTTGAAACATTCCCGTTTCATCAATAAAATCTTCGTCAAAATAATGAGCAATATTCGACATGATGAATTTACTCAATGGACGAAACTCATCGGTGTGTTGTGAATCAATGTTCGACGGCTCCCAACCGACAAATAATCTTGGAATACGAGCACCCAATCGTTTAATAATTGATTCCGGTGGTTTAACAGCTGTTAATGATATACGACGTATTTGTTTAGCTTCAGCTTGTTTTTGAAAAAATTCAGCTTAAAAAAAGCAACAAATACACTTTTGAATAGACATAATACTTTCAGTTAGAACTCACGAATATATTCCTCGTACATTGTTGGTTGTTCATATTCTGCAACATTTGTAAATTCAATTAATTCTTTATCTAAATTGTAGGCATCAAGTTCTTTTGGAATTAAATTTGTAAAAGATGATTCAAATTTAAAATTTTTGGTCATTGGTTTTAACTCATTTGGTCGAGCTTGACATATTAAATCATGTGATATTTCTAATTCATTATTGTGTCGTCGTCGAGATTCATCGAAGCTAATAGCACGCACGGGTGGACCAGGAAAACGACTGGATTTAATAAATAGAAAAGACATAAATTCAACTAAAATTAGTTGTTTAGCAATGCGAGTCATACATACTTAACGTCTAGTAAATATAATGCATGTAAATCTTTCAATGTTTTCTTTTGTCTTTCTTCTGAATCTGAACTTAAGAAATAGGAATTATACTCACTGTCCTCCTTTCTTTTTACAGAAGATTAACCTGACGTTGTTGTATTATGACTTTCTTTGTCCTTTTTGTCTCTTTTTGATTTTTGATTTTTTCTTTGTTTTAAACTCGTTGCGGTTGATTGTGTTTCTGTTGAAGTATCTTCGACATCTGATTTATTCGTATGAACTCGGACTATACGTTGTTCTTTGTTACCTTTGGATTTTGCTAGAAAAAAGAAAGATCAAAAAGTATGTAAACAACCACATTATCTTGTTTTTTTGGGATATGTTCTAAAGTTTAGCTGTACGAGATCAAAGACAAACGATAGGATCCTGCCGTTCTAATGTATCGCTATTACAGCGGTGTTCTCTCAAATTTTAGCAGAAACTCACTCCGCTTAGAATCATAGAGTATATGAGTAGTTGCATTCAATGGAACGATGAGAAAAAAATTTATTCGAAAATACAAAAGAAGTATATAATGTTTTGTATTAAGTCCAGTTGTCTGTTACTCTAGCAACAACATCGAAATAATTGTGCTCGACACATCGGTGTTAAAAATAGCTGATTTTTCAAAATTCATATATATGAGTTATAGATTCAACACAATTTTGAACTACTATCGAAACGGAAAGGTCGTGCTGGTTGCCGTTTTTCAAATAACTTTTTAACGAAAGGTCTTAGCGGCCTGCGGTTTTCACCATCGTATAGAGGACGATTTTTGACGCAATCTTAACAGTAAGCCCCGCAAGGTACACTACCT